TTAGTATTTTCAATTACGGTTTGATACTCATTTTTATCTCTCTCTCTTCTTTTCTTTTCTTTTTTTTGGGGGGGGGGTTGTTTTCAAGACAGGGTCTGTATTGTTTTGGAGCCTGTCCTGGAACTTGCTCTGTAGACCAGGTTGGCCTCGAACTCACAGAGATCCACCTGCCTCTGCCTCCCGAGCATTGGGATTAAAGGTGTGTGACACCAACGCCCAGCTTTATCTCATTTCTTTTAAAAAGAGAAACAATCTTGCAGGCACAGTCTCTCAGTGGCCCCCGAGGTGACTCTAAACTTGGTAACCTGCCTCTTTCTCTTGAGTTCTGGGTATGTGCCTCCATGCATATGTTTTTGTTGTGAACAAATGTGTGACTTTCAGGTGATCATAAGGTTGAAAATGGGCCATAATATTCTCTATCGTATACAAAGAATAAGAGCTAATCAAATTAAAAGAAAATATTATTGTCCAATTTGATCCTGAGTCAATTTGACCATTGAAATCCTTGAATACATTTTTTTCTGTTTTCTGTGCATTGTTAGTATTTGATAACCACATTTAAAGCCCTCTTTATTTTTATAAAATCATTATAAACTGTTATTTGGAAGACACATGGAATTATTGTCTCTCTTAAAACAGTGAGAGGTGAAAATCTGGAAGCCCTGTACAGTATGTGAGCTTGAGAAGTTTTAGAATTGATGCCCTCTTTCCTTTATTTCATGAATCAACTGTTTGAGATTTGTACCTTTATATTCCATGTCTGTAGATGGGTTATGGCTGCAAGGTCATTCGTGCCTAGAGTAAAGGTAGTAGGAGTGGTCTCTGAAAGGAAGTCTTACAGGAGTAAACTGTAAATGACTTTCCTGTGCTGTGGAGTGAGCACATATTTAATAGAGCCAGGAGTAACTGTCAAACTTTCAGGAAACAAATGTGTAATTACTGTTGCAAAAGAATATCCTGCCTTGTTCACTGTCCTTTTTTAGATCCGCCTGGCTGTTGGTGACATTCAAAGTGCTTGCCACACAGGTGCAGTGTTCTTCAGCTGTTGGAAACATTCCCTCTTCTCTCCCCCTCCTTTTACATATAATCAGGCATCTAATCCCACTAGTGTTAAAGATGGAATTTGCAAATTTGAGTATCTGTATAAGAAGATACAACTGAGATCATTGTTAGTTTAGGTGGTTAATGTTGCTGCTGAGGTGAATGTTTCCTAGGACTCAGAACTAGTGTAAGGTTGTAGTTGCAGAACTGTAAGTGGCTGCCTCTGAGAGCCCATGTGTAGAATCATGGCTCTGTAGAGTAAACTGAGAGGAGAGCTTCTCTTTGTTCTTAACCAAGCATGGTAACTGGCATAGCGCAGGAACTTGTTTGGTAATATCTTACATTCAAAGATAAAGCTGAACCATGTATCAATACTGAATCCAGGAATTGCAGCTTTTAAAAACAGATATCACATGGTAAGTGCCAAAGCGAGAGGGGCTGTGATTAGTTAGGGTGGCTTTCTCTGATTGTATAGCTTCTTTCCATTACAGTCGAGCCCAGCTGTTTCCATCCAAAGTACTTAGACCTATCTGGTTTTATACATTTTCAGCATTTACTTGTTTATTCTCTCTCTGAATCTCTGTAGAACATAGGTCCCATAAAGGCAGGGGTCATAGTTAGGTCCACCTGTTGACTTGACACAAACCTAGAAATACCTGGAAAGAGAGTCTCAATGAAGGGATTGCCTCTATTTGATTGCCTTATGGGCATGTCTGTGGGGTCAGTTTCTTGATTGCCCACTGGAGTGGTGCCATCCTTGGGTAGGTGGGTCTGGGCTGTGTATAAGAAAGGGAGCCTTATGTAAGACAGTAGGCAGCATTCCTTCATGATCTCTGCTTCAGGCCCTGCCTCCAGATTCCCATCTAGAGCCCCTGCCCCTAGCTTCCTAAATGATGGAAGCCACATAAACCCTCCTTCAAGCCTGTAAGCCTGTAAGCCACATAAACCCTCTTCAAGTTGCTTTTGGTCAGCGTTTTAACTGGGACAAGTATATTGATTTATTCAGTGCCCATATTTACATTGTCTAGCATGTAATACTCAAAGCCCTGGTCTCTTTACTGGCACTTAGTGACCCACATGTGGAGTCCTTTCGGAAGGTCATTAGTTTATTTGGTTAAGAATAGTGCAGACTAGTATACCAACTCATAGATGTGAGGAATTCATAGTGGTTGATAAATGTTCAGCTTAAACACTGGAAAAAGTTTACATTTAATGAAAGGTTTGACAACTAACAATGTTTTTGAAATTGCTAATCGAAGTTTGGAGAAGAAAAATAAAAACATGTCTTGTTAAATTTATAAGCTAAAGTTTAGTCCATTGAGGCAAAATGTGATAGGAAACCTTTGGAAGATTTTGAGGGTCAAATTTAACATGTTAGGAATTTGATTTGTAGTCATGAGTGTAGTTTACAGGAAAGATAAGTCCAAGTATTAAGGATATGTTCAAGAAGAGTTTGGTGTATCTGAAGTTTGAAATAACCTGGACAAAGAAGTAGAAGAGGAAATGTCCAAACTAGGAGAACTTGAGAAAAAGTGGTGTGCGACTGTTTCAAAGCATAGAGTAGAAGACTGTAAGTTTGGAGTGCTGTAAGTTTGTGCCCTCGGGATGGAAGCATGAGTCTGGGAGAGCTTGGCACTGTCGCTGTTAGGGTATGACTGAGAACTGCAATCCATCCGGTTCTAGAGAAGAGACAGCTAATACAGCAATAGAGTTCTGTTGCCAGACACTTTTGAAGTACGGTCTTGTTTGCAGTTGCCAGATTTCTCCATATTGTTAGATAGGTCAGTATTGATAAAAATATTTGTGGGTTTTTAAACATGATAATTCTTTTTCTCCTTTAAAGACCAGACAGTGCCAATGAAGTGTATTGGTGTTTTAAATTCTGAAATGGTTTGAGGGAAGAAAGATGTGTGAACATACTTCTTTCATAGACTTGAAGACTGACTTACTGTTTAAGAACTGCTATGCATACAGTTTCCTTTTAAAACTTAACCATAGGCTATATTTTACTCAACTCTTAATTCACTTTAGTATATGTCAATTGTGTTGGCATAAAAAGATGTTTTTTTTTTTTTTTTTTTTTTTTCAGAAAGAATCCCCCTGACTTTTTGTATGTGTCAGTTCTCAGTTTTGGTCTTGAAGCACAAATCTAGGATACAAAAGACAGCAGTAGTTTTCAAGAGACTGTTTTTCTCTGGAGGATTCTCTGTTATTACTCCATCCCCCACCTTCCTAGTCCTTCTGATACCCCCCCCCCCCCCACCTTCCCTTGTTTTTTAATCCCAGTGTTTTTTTCACAGCACGGAGTAACGTGTGTACATACCTAAGTGTGGATTTAGCTTAGACTGCAGGAAGCCTTTCCCCGTAGTAACTGCATGGCTCCATTCATACAAACATGAAAAACACCTGGTTTCAGGTGTGAGAGGCTCATGGAAGAACAGTCTGGTGGCAGACCACTCCTGATTTACATACAGTTCTGCTGTCACAGACACACTTGAGCTCGCTTCTCATTTGATGGTGACAAAAAACACTTTCATGTCAAGTGGGAAAAAATGCTATGTCAGGGCCTTGTTCAAAGACTTGAAAACTTGCCATTTCAGGACTGCTTTTTGTTTTTTGTTTTTTTTTTTTTTTTTTTTTGTATTTCTTAACCAATTTATTTTAAGATAAAACATTTTTGGTAGTGTGTTGAGCTTTATATAGCTTTAGTCCAAAGTGTTCAGATTTAACATTAAAAATTAATGCTACTAAAAAGTAGTTTTACAACCTATGTGTTTGGGTTTTTTAATTTAATATTTTATTTCTTTTTTCCTACTCCTGTTTTGAGAACTTCTGATTATCTGTCTTTCAAAAATACTCCTTTCCCAGTGTTGATACCTTTTTTGTTGTATAGAGAAAGGTTGTCTAAAGGACCATTTGGAAAATGTGACAACAGCATGTATTTTTCCCCATTGCTTTTTCATTGCATCTTGTCAAGATGGTCTTGGACATGAACTTTCTTAGAATCAGGCAGTTCCTTGTTCCTATGGGACTTCCTGTTTTCTCAAATAAAAATAGAAAAGCATCTCAGAAAGGAAATCTGGTCAGTGTGAACTATTTTATGGATCACTTGGACATAGTTGTGACCTGGATTATATAGTATATAATCTGAATAAAAAGTGTAAAAGTCTTCAAGTGTCTGTGAACTTTGAATATTTTTGTATATAATAAAGTAGGTGATATAGGGAGAGATTCTGAGTAATTGTGAAAGATATATATTTAGTTTTGTAATCTGGCATTCTATTTTGGGGAGAGTTTAGGTAAAAATACATGGAAAAATACTGTAAATTCCCTTTATAATAATTGATTGTCAAATACTGACATCTAATTGTCAGCTGCTTTGATCTGTATATTTTCTCCTTGCCATTTTTCTAGGTGTCAGAAGGTTTTTGTTTGATTTCTTTTTGGTAGATATTAGAAGTTTGAATCCTAAAAGAATTATTTAGTTTTAAAGCAACAAGTTAAGAAACATGATATAGTTAGTAATAATAAAATGGGTAGTATGTATTGAGAACCTAGTGAGTGACAGCTACGACTATGACATCTTACAGGGATTATTGTTTAGTCTTTGCAGCAGCTGTGTAAGGTATGTGCCGTTTCACCCCTCCTTAAAGGGAAGATTGTAGAGTGACCAAGTCACTAAGTTAAGGAGGTATTACTAAATACTGGTATGGAGATTTGAATTACTGATTCATGGCACCAGAACTCTGGCTTTCAGTTGTGATGGATTTAAAGTGAGAATGGCTACCATGGTTAGTCTTATTACTTTCCCAAGTTTCTAAGTCCAGTTTATTTACATTTTGTTTGCATATGTGCATTGGTTTAACAGTAGTGTATGCTGGCTTCTCAGGGTACTTGTTGAGGATTTAAATTCTTGAGTGATGCTAATAGTTCTCTTTTTTCTTTCTTTTCCTTGATAGTAAAAAACCCCTTTGATGAAACATTTGGAAAAATACAAGTAAGTAAAAAATCATAATGCTTATAATTTATGTCATGCTTTAAGTAATGAAAAGATTGAAGTGACTATAAACTAAGAAAAGTAACTTTAAGGCCCTTTTAGTTAGAGGCATTATGTTTTCTCATTCTGGGTATTCCTGCCTATAATTTAACTAAATCTGACCTAGGACTCCTCCAAAAACTGTTTTAGTGTTTATTACTTTAATGTAGAGACACTTGGCCCATCAGAGGGAGTGGCATGCCAGTCCTCCTGATCTGGTTCTTATACTTAAAAGTATGCCTTGTTGTTCCAAGTTACCTATGCCTTACTTAGCAGCTCTTTTCTTTGTTTTGTTGATGTGCTGACCCATCAGGGAAGCAAAGGTTTAAGAAGGAAGCAGCAGGGATCTTTACAGATTCTTCTTCAAAGGGGATTTAATAACCTTAACCAAAATGCTTGCCATATCATTGACACTGGGGATATTTAGATATTTAAAGCTGATGTGTATGTTATAGTACATACTTCTCTGCTAATTTTTCATTATAGCAACTGACCATTACATAGATCTGTATTGAAAACCATTTGTTTTACTCAAGGGCATGTAATGAAGTACAGTCAGACCTGTAGAGTATTATTTCAGATTGTTAGGAGTGGAGCTTTGGAATAATTCTGTTTAGTATATTCTGTGGTGAAGACATTTGTTTGCAGTGAATTTGACAACTGATCTTAAAAATGTGACAGCTTCAATTGACAGTGGACTCATAGAGGCTTGGAGGTGCAAAACTGTTTTCTTTAGTAGTTTAAACTTTGACGTCACAGATTTAGTTTAAGAATCATGGGTTCCAGCCCCAGCTTTTACTTTTGGTGTTTTGTATGTTTGGTGAATTATTGTATGTTTCCCTCCCTCCCTTTTTTTAAAGTAGAGTCTGTTAGGTAGCCCCACCTGCCCTTAGATTTGCTATTCTCCTATCTCAGTCTCCTTGTGCTGGGATTATAGATATGTCACTGTACTATGCACTTTGGGTTTTTAATTTTGTGTGGAGATGAAAATTGCCTTGATTCATAATGACAAAGATGACGTCAGTTAAAGGGTGATGTGGCAAAAAGCTTAGAAGCAAGCAGTCACCTGTTGGGATGAGTAGTTTGTCATCATGAGACATAATCTGAGGACATGGGGTGGGTTTTGGAGCCTTTTATGAATTTGCTTCTTCCTGCCGTCACAGATCACAGTGCACTGACAAAATTATGTTCTCATTGTGTGCAAACTTGTTCTCTTTGTTTCCTGTACATGAATGTGGGGACAAAAGGATGGATGCAGTTTCGTGTTTCTAGACCTGTGCGTGTCACATTCTCTACCTTCTCATCAGGCCTGGACTTGCTCCATGGGCATATTCATTTAGCAATCCTGTTCTTCAGGCACTCCAGAAAAACGGAAGTCATAAAGACATCCTGATAGTCATGACCTTATCTAGCTCAGGGTTAGAATCTCTAACGTTTCCTCATCACTGACACTGTCTCATCTTAGTTGCAGCTGTTCTTAGATTTGGGTATCATTGTTTAGACTACTTGACAGATTGCACAGACAGTGCCATGTTTACTCCAGATTATTCCTACCTTCTGCTTAGCAGTATTTCAGTAATGCACAGGCCTGGTCTACTTTTCTCCTAAATCTTCAGAATAAAGCCAGATTCTTTTTCTCTGTATCTAGGGTTCTATGGCAATTAATTCTGGGCTACTTTTCCTTTAGTTTGCTCCTGTTTGCATAAGGAATAGAGACAGTGCATTCCTGCTTTCTGCTTCTTATCTGCTTGTGCTGTTCCCCTCTACCTGGAATGATGGTCAAGTCGTCTTCCTGTGCTGCCCAGCTCTAATGCTCCACATTACACACATAGGCCTTTGTTCACCCCTCTCTGTTTACATTGAACTTGGCAGCTATAATGTGACACTGCATGATGGCGGTGGTGTTCTTGAGACTAGGAAATACCTTGTTGTGTCTCCCTTTGCTCTGAGAAAATAGTTCTTTACTCCTTAACTTTATTGAATGTTCCACATCAATGTTTGGTAACTATATATGAGGCCATCTTGAAAGTTTAGGACAGGCTGTATCTCAAGTAGCAATACACATTCTTTTAGTTTTATGTAATTGAATCAGATTAAAACAAACTATGGAGAATGGCTCAGCAGCTAACAGTGCTTGCCAGCAAGCATGACAACCTGAGTTTGAACATTCATGGTGGAAGGAGAGAAACAATTCCTAATATTGTTCTCTGATATACATGGCTTGTGCCCCTGTATGTGCAACCCACATATGTGTACACAAATTAAATCAATCACTCAAACACATAATGTAACCTGGATGGAAGAAAAGACAAGAACATATATATATATATATATATATATATATATATATATATATATATATCAACATAT